CTATTGTGACCATGTGATCGCTCTGTTGTGGGGAGACTGTGTGGGGAGACTGTCTGGGCTGCAGGCAGTCTCCCCACAACCGGAGCAACACTGATCGCCGCCGGGGGAATGACGGCGATCAGGTAAGTACCCCCAGACCGTTAGGACGGTTCAGGACCGTCATCGGTCCTCAAGGCAAAAATGCCGATGACGGTCCTGAACCGTCCTTGGTCGCTAAGGGGTTAAGGGAATGGAACCTTTTCTTTGAGTATGTGTGCACTTGTTTCTTGGCATAATCATTCTTATCTCTGAAGTATATCCTCTTTTTTATATCAATAATATATTTCTCCATCCTTTCTAGATTTTGTTTAATCTCCACTGTTATAGTTGCATAATCTTCAGGGGGGGGGGTAAAATTAATTAGAAAATTTTGTAGTTCATTAATATGAATGTCCAACTGATTCAGTGTATTTTTACGTCTCCTAATAATTAAACCCATTAGACGAAAGGAGAAACTTTCTAACATCTCCACCCATTCATTAATTAATTCCTCTTCTTCCTGGTCAAAAGAGGAACTTTTTGAGAATCTGAGTCCTCTAGGTGTGATTTATTTTTTTGTATTGTATTTCTCGAGAAGGCATCATGTAACTAGGAATCATAGAGAGAATTATCAACATCCACTTAAAAAGATACAATCCATTTCAACACCAAGAACATCAGACATGAGGGGGAACCTGTCTATACAAGAGAGAGCCACTCATATCTACAACAGGTCACCCTATTTACAGAGGGACAAACGAGTCTCTTTCGACAAGACGTATAACACGTCTAGAGAAATGGATAATAGAAGGCCATATGAATATAGAAATAGACCATACATACGCAAATATAATGGAACACATACACAGGCATCAGGAACCAAACAAAGTGATATTGTACACACTTCAGACAATATCCTCCCTACGCATAATAGATTTGCACATTTGGCCCATTCACCCAGAAGGGAGGATTTTTGGAATATACAAACCCCACAACACCACGGTCACCCAACAAGAGGGAGAGGAGCATAGAAGAAGGGGAGGTAGAGGAGGACTACACACACACAAAAAGGAATAAGAGAAAGGTTCTAAAAAAATAACAATGACATCTTTAAATCTGACGACCAATTTTCTGCCCCTCAGATATCCTTGCTTGAAAAATTATTACTTAAATATCCAGCTGATTAAGTAAATGTATGTGACAACCAGCACTATTTAAAGAGTGCAAACAATCCATACAGATCTGTACTATGATTTTCTTAATTCCTTCTTTTACATGTTATATATGAATTTGAGTATCATCCAATGAGGAGTATAAGTATTTTCGCTCTCTTTTTTATATTTTTGCTGCATGGTGAAAGGGGCTGTCACGTACTCATCCGCTTATAAAAATGTGGTAAATGACATTTACTGACCACACAGGAAAAGTTGTGCCGAGCAGCAACCAAATCCACAGAAGGGTTAATGCTGAGCAGCAATTATACAAATGGGAACCTGGTAACTGCTTTGGGGTCAAAGGCAGGTTACAGCCTATCAGATCTAGTGGAGGGGTATTTAGGCCCAGTTCTCATCGTGCTCAGTGCCCTGTCGTGGTTTCCCTTGTGGTTGTCCGAGAGCACGTTATTGATTCTGGTAATTCTGGTTATTTGACTTTGGCATTGTTTTTGACTTCTCTGTTTTCTGGCATCCCCGACTCCTGGCTTTTCCTTATCGTTGTGTCTCTTTCTGTTTCCCTTGACCTCGGCTATTCCTGACTATTCTTTAGTACGTTAGTCCAGCCATTCTAAGGTCCGGTATATGTTACCTATCAGTCCTCTGTGTTTTACAATTCTACGTGCTGGATCATTCTGTAATCCTGACATTACGACATGGCCATAGATCCTGTAGAATTGTGTTAGCACATAGCTGCTTGCAAAAGGAAACTAAAAGGAGAATGATCACCGCTTGGATCAATTTGCCCAGGCTTTCAGTACGCTTCTTACTCGTACAGCGCATCTGCAACCTGCGGCTGCGCCTACTGTCTCACCTCCGCCTTGTGTACCTCCGCCTATAGTATACAAGGCACCAACTATCTCTCTTTCTCCTCCTCTGCATTTTGATGGTAATTTCCAAGAATGCTGGGGATTCCTTAACCAAATAGAGTATCATTTTGAGGCCTCACCGGGATCTTTTCCCACATACAGAGCTAAAATTGGTTACCTGATTAATCAATTAAAAGGTAAAGCTTTAGCATGGGCCAATCCATTATGGGCAGTGGCGTACACATGACCCACGGGGCCCCGGTGCGAAAATTTATCCGTGCCCCCCCCCCCTCACGCGCGGGCCGGGCCGTAACACATGGTGGTGGGCGCCTGGTCGCGGGGGTTACAGGACTGCGAACGCGGTATGTACGCCAGTGCATGCAGATGCACACACACTTAAAGGACCACTACAGACACCCAGATCACATCAGCTCAATTAAGTTGTCTGGGTGTCAGGTCCCTCTAGTTTTAACCCTGCAGCTGAAAACATAGCAGTTTCAGAGAAACTGCTATGTTTCACTGAGGAGTTAATCCAGCCTCTAGTGGCTGTCTCACTGACAGCCGCTAGAGGAGCACACTGAACGTCCATAGGAAAGCATTGAGTAATGCTTTCCTATGGGCGGTTTGAATGCGTACGCGGTCTCATTCGGAGCAGAGAGGCTGAGGGATCCCCAGCGCCAAGGGAGTCCGGCGCTGGAGAAAGGTAAGTGCTGAAGACACACACACTCTCACTTACAGATGCATACACACTAGCTAACAGACACACATTTACTGACAGAGACACACTCAGCGACAGACATACATACACACTCACTTACAAAACATACACTCTCATTGACAAACACACACTCACTAACAGACATCAAACAGACTCACTAAGACACACACACACACTCACTAAGACACACACACACTCAGTAAGACACACACAGTAACACACTCACTGACACTCACTAGCAGACACACACTCTAACACACACTCACTCTAACACTCACACACACTCTAACACTCTCACTCACTCTGACACTCACTCTAACACTGACACTCACTCTAACACTAACACTCTCACACACTAACACTCACACACTCTCTCACACACTCTAACACTCACTCTAACACACACACACACTAACACACACACTCTAACACTCACACTAACACACACACACACTAACACACACACTCTAACACTCACACACTCTAACACTCTCTCACACACACACACACACTAACACACACACACTAACACTCACACACTAACACTCACACACACTCTAACACTCTCACACACACACACACTAACACTCACACACACTCTAACACTCACACACTCACACACACACACACACACACACTAACACTCACACACTCTAACACTCTCTCACATACACACACACACACACACACACTAACTCACACACACTAACACTCTCACACACTAACACTCACACACACTCTAACACTCTCACACACACACACACTAACACTCACACACTCTAACACTCACACACTCTAACACTGACACTCACACACACTAACACTCACACACTCTAACACTCTCTCACACACACACACACACTAACTCACACACACTAACACTCACACACTAACACTCACACACACTCTAACACTCACACACACACACACACACTAACACTCACACACACTCACACAGGTCCCTCTAGTTTTAACCCTGCAGCTGAAAACATAACAGTTTCGGAGAAACTGCTATGTTTCACTGAGGGTTAATCCAGCCTCTAGTGGCTGTCTCACTGACAGCCGCTAGAGGAGCACACTGAACGTACATAGGAAAGCATTGAGTAATGCTTTCCTATGGGCGGTTTGAATGCGTGCGCGGTCGCATTCGGAGCTGAGAGGCTGAGGGATCCCCAGCACCAAGGGAGTCCGGCGCTGGAGAAAGGTAAGTGCTGAAGAGACACACACTCTCACTTACAGATGCATACACACTAGCTAACAGACACACACATTTACTGACAGAGACACACTCAGCGACAGACATACATACACACTCACTTACAAAACATACACTCTCTAACACACACACACACTAACACTCACACACACTCTAACACTCACACACACACTAACACTCTCACACACACACACACACTAACACACACACACTAACACTCTCTCACACACACACACACACACACACTAACACTCACACACACTCTAACACTCACACACACACTCACACACACACACACACACACTAGCACACTCGTTTACTCTAACACTAACACACACACTAACACTCACACATGTTTTTAAATTTAATCCCCAGCCTCCTTACCTTTTGGAGTGCTGGGGGATTCTAAGAATCAGTGGTGCTGCTGGGCTCCTGGGGGTGGCTTGATTGGGCAGGCAGTAGCTTGTGAGGCTTCAGTATCCAGTCGCGGTCATGGCGAGGGAGGCTGAAGAGGGCGCCAGTGAGTGCTCCTACGTAGCCCGCCTGCCTGACCGACCACCGCCTTCGAACAGGCAACAGGGCCAGCCTCAGGGGGCCCTGGGGTGGTCGGCTCCTGGGCCCCCCAGGGGAAGAGGCTGGCCCTGTGGCTACATACCGGGTCGCAGGGGCGGCCGGGCCCCCTGGTGGGCCGGGCCCAGTCGCAGCCGCGACCCCTGCGACCCTGGTATGTACGCCACTGATTATGGGAGAGTAATAAGAGTGTGGCACACAACTACCAGGAGTTTATTACGGAATTTAAACTTACGTTTGAACCATTAGGCAGGGAGGAAGACGCCTCAATTGCCCTGATGCATATCAGACAAGGGAACCGGTCTATCTTGAAGTATGCCATAGAATTTTGTACCCTAGCTTCTGAGGTAGACTGGACTAATAGTGGGTTAATCTCTGCATTTTAAAAGGGACTATCTGAAACTATGCTATATGAGATTGCCGCCAAAGACTTACCCAACAAGTTTAATGAATTTATCACTTTTGTCATGCAGACTGATAATAGATTGAGAACCAGAGAAGCTACTCATGAATATGACTTTAGCACCCCACTTCGCCAAACCTATTGTCCCTGAATTTCCTGTACAGTCTGAACCCGAACCCATGCAGTTGGGGGTCACTAGACTGTTGGAAGCAGAAAGACAATATAGTAGAAAAGGTCTATGTCTATACTGCGGTAGAAAAGGACATATGAGAAATAATTGTCCCATACGTCCGGAAAACTAATGCACCTTAAGGGGACAGGTCTTAGGTGTAATGGAAACATCCTCTGGAATGGATAAAAAATAGGTTTCTACTTGATATTTCTATTGCCTTTGAAAAGAAGAACTTTTCATGCAAAGTGTAACGGATCACCTGGCACCCCGACTGGGTACCTCCGTTGAAGGATGCTCCTAGCGCTTCATGAGGACTCCAAGCACTGCAGCAGACACCACAACCACTGAACCGGAGAAGCATATGATAGCTCTCAAGCATATGAATGCTGTAAGCAGCTGAACAGGAAAAGCATACAATCAGCTAACACTCCTGGCAATCTGCATACAATCCAATTCCCCCAATAACGAGACGACACTTCGTTTTGAGGTCAAGCAGAACTGACTGTACTGGCACATACAGCCTCTTTTATTCACAATCCACAAACATAGTACTGCCCACACGGTTTTGAAATCCAACCAATCAATCCGTACAATACACACAGACACTCCCACACAAAATCCTCCCCTCTGCCTGTGATATGATTACAGAACACAATGGTTAATATAATCACAGGCAGAGAAATACAGTATTATAAAACATATCACAGGGACCCCAAAACATACAATAACCCCATAAAAGTACATCCTCGGAGCCGGGGGATCTGGGTGAACCACATTTCCAAAATTCACCCAGATCCGTTCAGTAGTTTAGAAGATACAGTTTAATGCAGATTCTGCAGAACATATACAGGCTATATGAAAAATAATTACTGTATAATGTGTCCCCTGTTGTATAGTTTAAAACTACTGCACGATGTCTTTGTGCACCGTGTAGAAAAGTCCAAACAGTGTCTGTGAGTTAAAATGGCAGCCATCCATTGTTCTCCCCATGTGCTTCATCCATGTGCCTCTGATACATGAAATGGTGGCCACCCAGTAACTCCACAGTATGTCCCCAGATGGTTCTTAAAGGGCCAGCAGCAGCACAACACAAATCCATTATGCTCAAATCATGTCTTTAAAGGGCAATACATCCCAGGGGCCATAGTCACATGGCAGGAGGCTGGCAATCAGTCTTCTCCAATGCCCAGTGGCGAGGTCGGTTTTGCCACACAAAGCCCTTCCTGTATCCCCTTCCTGTCCGATCATATTAGGCTTTCCATGGCTTAACAAGCATAGCCCTCATATTGACTGGGCTAATGGGGAAATATTAGAATGGGGTAAGGTGTCAGGGTCCCGCGGGCGGCTGCGAGGGGAGGCTGCAGTCCGCTCGCGGCACTCACCCTCCAGCCATCCGCGGTCCCCTTCCAGACATGCGCTCGGCGGGCAGCATCCTCTCTCCCACGGATGCCGTCCGCCTCTTCCTCTGTGTCCCCCAGCGGCAGCATGCATGACGCTGCACGCTGGGAGACCGCCCATTTAAACAAACGCCGGGTTCAGTCACCTGACCCGGCGTTAAAGGCACAGTGCCTCAATCACAGTGGGAGGTTTAGATATCTCCCACGTGTGATTGTTAATTCTGATTGGAAATTATCCAATCAGAATTAACCTTTGGATTTATATACTCACCTTTCCTGTTCCTCTTCGCCCTGTTGTGGTCTTTGCTTGCTAGTATTGTTACTGAACTTGTGCTTCTGGTTACGTACTCTCTGGCTTGTTTATCCGACTCTGTGACTTTCTCTTACCCTTTGACCTCGGCTTGTCTATCGTTATTCTGTCTTCTGGTTCCCCTTTACTCGGCTTGTTTCCTGACTATTCTTTGTGTGCTTATCCCGGCCACTCTAAGGTCCGGTACGGCACCTTTTCTGTGTGTGTGTGTCAGCGTGTTGGGTTCCCCGAATCGTGACATTACAACAGGGCCATAATGGAACCTGCTGACATACCACAGCTCCTAGTTAATCAGGAGGCTAGAATGGATGGTTTAGACCACCGTATGGATCAGTTTGCCCAAGCTTTACAAACCATACTGGCTCGTACTGCACACTTGCAACCTGCCGTCCAGGAGGCTGCTGCTGCTGTGCCCGAACCCATTCCCACTCCTGTACCCGTTCCTGCTCATGTTGTTCATATGACACTGCCACAGCGGTGACCCAGCATTGTGTCGTGGTTTCCTCAACCAAATTGACATCCATTTGGTGATGAATCCACGTTCCTATCCCACTGACAGATCCAAAATTGCCTTTTTGATAAACCACCTGTCCAGGAAAGCTTTAGCATGGGCTAACCCCATGTGGGAGAATACATCTCCTATGTCCTTTGTAGATTTCTTGACAGCTTTCAAACGTACGTTTGATCAACCCGGTAGGGTTGCCTCTGCTGGCAAAGCTCTGCTTAGGGTACGACAGGGTAACAGATCTGTAGCGGATTATACTATCGAGTTCCGCACGCTAGCAGCTGAAGTGGTTTGGAATAATGACGCCCTCGTAACAGCCTTTCAGGAGGGTTTGGCCGCCTACATACTGGATGAAATAGCATCCAGGGAATTGCCTGTTCTTCTGGATGATGTCATAGATTATGTCATCCTTATTGATAACCGTATTAGAGAGAGGCGGAGTCAAAGACAGATGGATACACGGGCATTACCTGCTCCCCCCTCTACTGCTTTACTAGCACTACCCGCTCCTAGTCAACCATCCCCCGAACCCATGCAATTGGGTGCTACGGGGCTAACTGAGGCTGAAAGAGCATATCGTAGAAGGGAGGGGTTATGCCTTTATTGTGGAAAGAGGGGGCACCACTGTAATGCCTACCCTAAGTTACAGGGAAACTACAGCACCTAAGGCCTAGAGAGGGGTCGGCCTCGGGTGTTATGACTTTGTCCCCTCATGTGTCCATCTCCTTATTACGGTTTCTCTTTTGGTCAATAAAACCACCATAACAACCA